TTCTTGGTGAGTTCTGACAAGCTTCTTTTGCAAGCTCCTGGACTTCTCAATTGGTTCCGGCAGAACTTCCGACGAACGTCCGGACTTCCGATGAACTTTCGAACTCCCAACAAAATCACGTTCTTGACTCCGGGACTTCATTTTGCTTTATGTCTTGCTATCGTAGTTAATTCTACACACACAAAAATACACTTCGATCTAGACAATTATTACTAAGCATGAATCATATTGTCCAGCATGTCATTGGTCCATCGACGCTTCGTCCGATTCTTCGACGCATCGTCCTTTCTTGCGGCCTATTACCCAATCGGCCACTTGACCTCTGCAACTCCGATATCCTTGGCGCAATATCCGCTCTTCTTGGCCCGATGCCCGAATCCATGGCCCGAAGCCTTTTCTCGATATGTCGATCGATCCTTCGGTCCGACGTCCAATCTTCTGACACGTTTTTCTCCGGCCCAATATAATTCTTCCTGCTTTAATTGTCTCTCCCTGATCGAAGCATCCTGTATTACTCAAAATACAGATTAAATCATAAACACTTATTAATTGGTTTCATCATCAAAATCTGAGATTCAACAATGACATGAGGCACCTTCACCACCTAGGTGTCCTAAATTGTAAACAGTGAGCTAGGAGGTCGCCCTGAGCAGCCCATCACATCAATGCCTGGATGTGGTGCTAAATGGTCAAGCATTCTCATTGTTTTGGACCAATGAGAGTAAAGAAGTTAGTTTAAGAATAAAGGGTTAGATTAGCAACTTGGGATTTAGGAACACTTTCAGGGAATAGATTAGAATTGGCAGACACTGTAATTAGAAGAAGAATAAATATTACAAGAAACTAAGTGGGTAAGGGAAAATCTTAGAGAGATTGACAGTACCAGATTTAAAATTTGGTATACTGAAAAAGTTAAACATGGAAATGATGTAGGACTTGTTGATAAGGATCTTAAGAACAATGTTGTACATATAAAAAGATTTGGAGATAGAATTATAGTTCTAAAATTTGTGAAATGACAAGATATTTTTAATGTCATTAGTGCTTTTGCCTCTCAAGCTGGATTGGATGATCAAAACAAAAGAGAATTTTGGGAAAGCTTAAATGATATCATTCAAGGAATGCCTATAACCAAAAACCTTATAATTGAAGGAGATTTGAATGATCATATAGGGAAAACATATAATGAATAGAAAGGGGTGCATGGGGGCTTTGGTTATAGAGAGAGAAATGAAGATGATGATATAATTTTAGATCTTGCAACTTCGTATGATTTTATAATTGTAAATACTCACTTTAAGAAGAGATATGAACATTTAATTACTTATAAAAGTAGTCACGATTGTAGTCAAATATATATTTTTATCATTAGAAAATAGATAAAGTTCTTTGTAAGAATTGTAAAGCTATACATGGTGAAAGTTTGACGAATCAACATAGATTGATGGTATTAGATATTTATGATAGAAAATGAAAGAAGAAAAAGATAGTAGAAAAATTCACTAGGACTAGATGATGTAATTTTTAAGAAGATAACATAAACACTTTTAAGAATAGGATGGAAAGGGATGCGACTTTAAACTTAGATGAGGATAATATTAATATTATTTAGACTATGATGGCTAATAAGATTAGGATTTTAACAAATGAGATTCTTGATGAAACTAAGGGAAGAGATATAACTTTAAGAGAGAGTTGGTGGTGGTGTGAGGAAGCTCAAAAAATAATTTTTACTAAAAGATCATATTTTAAAGATTGACAAAATTGTAAAAATGAGAGAAAACCTGAGGTTCTTCCAAATTCTTATTGGTGAAACGAGGATTGAATTAACAAAGAGAATCGGAAAAGAACCACATAAACAATTTTGTGGATTATTAAGAAATCTCAGCATGTACAGAAATTCAGGAATAGAGCCTGGCTATGTTACAATTTTATTATAGAATATGATCAGCCTTGTGTAACTGGGCCTATTCTATTCTGCAGTTTCAAGGACTGTAGTCAAGCAAATGGCAAATGATAGGTAAATAATGTCTTTTACTTATTTTTGTTGAGAAAAAAATTTATCCATTAATATTTTCTTTTATTTGAAGGCAAGAACCACCCAGTTTGTTTCTAGATTGTGTTGAAGTTTTCGAAAAGGTCCTGTTGAATCTCATCCTCTCAATATAGGTGGCTCATTCATTCAGACTTCGAATTCAGGTGGAGTATCCAAAAGATGACTCTATCGTTTCTTTAGTGGCCAACCATACCAGAAATCTGGCCGAGTGCTTAAGACTGATAACTTTGGCCCCAAACAGAAGATAAATTAGTCCTTCGAAGAAATGACTTGAACGAAATTATGTTAACTAATAGAAACTTATAATATGTTTGGGCCTTTTAAAGCCACCATTTTGCTGTGCCTGTTGGTTGACTTCATTGAGGTTGATGGGTCAATTGCAATGCTTCTAATGTAAAGCCTGAGATTCCAATTAAACTTAAGTGTTATTCACTGGCCAATAACTAAACCTTTAAAGAAAGGTTCAAGGTGATAGATGTGCTAACGGACAACAAGCTGGGATGGTTGCAGCAATTAGAACAGCTCCATACATGGGCAATTCAGTACATCACTTTTCTGGCATTTAAATTCTTTTGATTTGCACGGGGACTTCCCTTATTGTGCCTGCTCATTGCCATGGGAGCATGCTGTATAACTTGAAATCTTGTCTATAGTTCTTGAGTTGTTGGGGCTTTCTTGAGTTAAAGTTTTGGAATTGTTGTAGATGGAGGAATGTTGATACGGGAGTGTCTAATTTACTATAATCTGATCATATGAACCTTAATTATGATATAGTATTTTTTTCAGTCAACAATAATGCCTCATAATCTTCAACTCAGCCCATTCAAATATGACAGTTCATCAGTATATTCTCTGCATAAAGTGAAAGATGTTTCATTATGCTTTTCTTCATGACAAAGGAATGCATTAAAGGAGTTGGTTAGCAGTTGTGAACATTTCTTCATAACCAAGGAATGCATTAAATGAGTTGGTTAGCAGTTGTAAACACTTAATTTCGAAATTCCCTATGCATGAAGGGTTATTTCATGCACTAATATTTATTTTGGTGTTTAGGACTTAGAAAAAACTTTAGAAACTGATGATATCTTGGCAGAAGCTCTCTTGGAGAACTCCCTTAAACTCTGTATCTCTTGGATGCGTCCTTGAGCGGTGAGTCTTTTGATTTATGTTCTGTATCCTCGTTTATAATCTTTGGGATGGTGAATTTCTGTATCCCTTTGTGATTTTAACTTGGTGGTGAACTATTTTTCGATCTTATTTAAGTTTTATCATGAGTTCGTGCCTTTTCTATTCAAAACACTTATTCCAACAAATACAACTGTACTGCGACTTTTCTTCAAAAGTTCGTTCCTTGTCTATTGTGACATTTTCTACCTGAAAAACTATTCCATTGATTTTTTTTTAAATCCATTCTGCATTTTACCCTCCCCGATATCAAATGTATTGAAACCAATTAGATTCCATGGAATTGATTTGAAAAAAATTAGTCAACCAGTTTGATACCGGGGTAATATGGAATGGATTTTGAAAGAAAGCTGGTAGTACAGTTGTAATTGCTGGAATAAGTTCTTCGGATTGAAAAAGAATGAACTCACGATAAAACTTTACTAAAATCGATAAATAACTCACCACCGAGTTTAAAATCACAAAGGGATACAGAAAATTCACCACCTCAAGGATGATAAACAAGGATACAGAATTGAAAATAAAAGACTCACCACTCAAAGAAGCATCTGAGAGATACCGAGTTTAAGAGAAAAACACATTTCCTATGTAATCTCTTCCGGATCCAGTACTAATATGTGGTATGATCCTTGGGTTAATGGGAAGAGTATATTTCAATTATATGGTGACAGAATATGAAAAGACCTTGAGGCTCCCAAAGAGTATATTTCAATTATCCAGTAATGAGTATATTTCATTACTAACGGTACCTAGTGTCTCCCTAATCCGATTTCTCCTGAAATGTTATCACTTTGGCTGACTATTACAGCTATTCCAATCAGGAACAACTCTTTAGATATACTTATTTGGCCTCATGACAATGGCAAATTTAGTGCTACATCAGTATAGAATCAAATCAGGCAGAGGAACAACAAGTGGATCCCAAGCAGTTGGACATGGGATCGATCGGGATCACAGAGACATTCCCTATGCACATGGTAGGCCCTTCTTGATAAACTACCTACAATAGACAATACGAAGAGAAGAGGTCTTTATCATGTTAACCAATGCTCTTTTTATATGCAACAGGAAGAAAAAGTATTGTTCCATGTTAAACAAGAAATTCTTGAGCTCCTTTGCGTCCCTAGCACCTCCATAGTAATGAGGCTCAGGTGTCCTTAAGTTTTGTGGCGGCGCAACGTGGGTGTTGCTTCCTCCCGCATTTAGTACCATTGTGAGTGTTGTCACTTTAGAAGTGAGTTCCGCCACGACTTTATGCAAATGTTGAACGGAGTCTTTGGTATTGTCCGTTAGTCGATCGACTTGGGCCTCAACCTTGTCGATTCGAGATTCAACTTCTTCTTGCGAGCTCTCTACCTCAAGAAGCCTTCGTTGGCCTTGGTAGAGTTCCTCCAAGCTTGCTTTAAGAACATCCAAGCGGGTTTCCGTCGCTGTGAGTCTCTCCTTATGGCTTTTTTTCTTGGTTGGCGCTTCAGATTACGCCTCCTCCGCTCGCAGAGAGTAGCCAACTTCTCGCTCATCATGTTCATTGCCACGCTCCTCCAAAGCGACTCCAATAGCATGAGAGCGAGTTTGCACTTGCAGCCCACTTGTGGCCAAGGCAATGGTCTGGCTTGCCCCGTCTTGTTCGATTCACCATGATGCTTTGCTATGGCAAGTTGTGAAGTTTCTTCGTTGCTTGCTCGAATTGCTTGCCTGCTCTGATACTTAAGGAAACATCTTTATAATCTTCAACAAACTTTATGAGCCTATTTCTGTATCATCTTTTTGATATTTTAGTGAAGACTCTTACTTCTGCTCCATTGATGTGCTTATTGCAATTTTGTTGGTTCCAGATTGGTATGAGGGCCTGGGAACCGAGTATTTGATTGCGACATTTGGTGATTATTTCAGAGACATCAAAATGTATGTATTTTCTATTTTTCTTATTATTGCGGTAATGTACATTGCGGAATTATAATTTCCTTGTTCTTGAATATTTTTCTAAGTTGCTTTTGCAGTAAACATGGATTTAAGTGTATCCCAATGTACTTCTTTCACATTTTGTCTTATTAATATTGTTTCATGAATAATCTACTTTAACCAATCTTTTCCTGATCTTATTATGCACATATATACTAAGTCAATTGACTATTAATTTAAATTTACATGTTCAACTTCATTGAATAACCATATACACATGATCTTCATTGTGAGAAAATAATTTTAGTATAATTTTACTTGATGCTAATTAGTTTGCCTTGTAAACCATCTTTCCGCTTTCTGTGATTATCAAAACACATCAGGACAAAATTTGTCAGTCTTTTTTGCTTAGATGCTATTGGTCACTGTTTCCTAAGTGCAGGACTGTCAATGCAGAGGGATTTTATCACACAACACCCATGCAGCCATTATGTAGCTAGCAGGCATTTGCTTTGCTTCCTTTTTCTCTCACAAAAATATTGCAGCATCTTTTTCAAGAAATAAACTGTTTATATTTGACATTTGACAGGATATTAGAATGTACTTGTGTTGACTGTTCTTTAAGACTAAACTTGTCTTTTCTTTAGGTATATTGAAGACAGATCATTCAGGAGATTTGTTGAATCTTGCCTGGAAGAAACAATAGTGGTTTATGTTGATCATCTGCTTACACAGGTCTGCACCAATGTTCTCCAGTAAGATAGCTTGTTGCGTATGAGGCTAAATGTACTGTGCCATGTGTCTTTCCTGTGTAGAGAAACTGTATTAGGGAAGAAACTATTGAGAGGATGAGACTAGATGAAGAGGTACTATTGGATTTTTTCAGGGAGCACCTTAGTTTAAGAGTGAGTAACTTTATCCTTTTAATTTCCTCTTCTAATTACGTATCCTTGTAGAAGTTTGTCTCTTTTACATTTTTTCCATTTTAAAATGCTTATTTGTGTAGAATATTTCGATGTATGCATGTAGCAGATTAAACTATGATGTATAGTTATTATTTCTGTTATCTTATTTTATCATAAATTGCCTCTCTATGTGTGCATACGTTCCCGTCCTATCATCTTAAGTGTTCTTTTAGTTTTGTTGCAGAAAGTTGAAAACAGAGTCAGGATTCTGAGTGACCTAAGGGAGCTTGGTTCAGCTGAGTGCTTGGACAGTTTTACCCTTATTTACACAAACATTCTTGAACATCAAGCAGATTGCCCAGTAGTTATTTCTCTCAACAAATCATTTATAAATCATGTTGCTATTACTGTATAGGCAATTTTCATGGTCACTTTACAGGTTGTTTATAGTGTTGTTGGGAGTTATTAAGGTTCAATTATGCCCTCCATAACGAGGTATCAATTTTACTTATATGCTGGTAATCTTTCTGCAGCCTGAAGTTGTTGAGAAACTTGTTGCATTGCGGGAGGGCATACAAAGAAAGGAAGCCAAGGAGGTAATAGTCATATCATATTCCATCAGTACAGCTGCTGTTTTTCATGGCTTTTAAACATTTTATTGTTTAACAGCCAAAAACGTCTATATTTCACCTAAGCATACTGCATATGATATTGCAAACCACATTGAAATATGTTCTTCATGAGTGAGGTAGGTACTGTAGGGGTAGAGTTTGCTATCAACCGATGGTTTGTCTTAACATCTACATGGCAGTTAGTTAGCCATCATTACAATTCAAAGCTTAAGTTGTTGAAGTTACGGGCCACTCTAATATATGCAATACCCTATTATCACTAAGCAATGTGGGACGAATCATTTGGCTTTCTCAATTGATATTATGCTTCCTATTATAGCACAGTCTATTTGTCCTGGCCGTCCATCATGTTGCAGCCTATCTTGACCAAACTTGCATTCTAGCTCAGTTATTCTACATCATCTTGGTCATCTGGCTCTTTTATAATATTATATCATTGGTTTGGGTTGAGATGTTTGGCTAGATGCTGTTACTCAGAACTTGGATTAGTCATGTTGGATCATGTTATTGGGAACATTTAGTATTATTAATCGAGTCAACGAGGACATCAAATCATCACAAATTGGTATGAAGTTGGCCAGTGGACCTCAAATAGGAAAAGACTACTTGTAGGACAGTAAGCGGCACACACAAACACTAGCAAGGACATTAGGTATTTTAGTAGCATGAGTTTATCTTTACCTGATTGCTCATTGTCCTAGTAAAGTTTAACCGAATGGACCTTAAGCTTAATTCGCCGGTGTTTACTGTGTGGCTTTGGTTTTAACTTGTAACCTTTTACAAGCCAATTGTTTGAGGAGTCGAGATGGGTTGGTTTCAATAAGGGCAAAGAAATATACCAAAATTCACTAGTGGACGGCAATCCTCCAAAAGGCAGGATTTGTCTTCGGTAAAGTCAAAGTGTCTTGCTGTCCTGAAAGGCTCACTGTGGAGGAAGCTCGGTCAGTAGCAAACCCTCGCAAGGGCTCTTTCGTCATCTGCCGTTTCCTGAAGCTCGGGAATGCTCCGCCCCTTTATGCTTGTATTCATTACCCAAGTCTCTGTTGTTCTGTTATAGATTTTTATTCTTTTCTTTCGAGTAATTTTGCATCTACTTTGCAATGATTTTAGTTTGTAAGCAGGGAGGTCTACTCGATTGTAAATTAAAGCAAAAGGCAAAGGTTTTAGACACAACATGCGGCATCCCTTGATTGGTCACCTTCATTTCCCTGATCTTCATTTTAGGAGTAAATTAGCTGTGAGCATACTTCGAGTACATGCCCGAATTGAGCAAACGAAGTGGCTGCTATTGAACTTGGTAGCTAGTTGTGTGATGTCTTACACATGCTATGTAGGATTTGGAATAGTAGAAATGAACCTTTTTTTTATTGTATCAATTTTTTGTATGTCTTTTTTTTTGTTTTGTACAAATGAATCTCTGATGGAGATGATCACCAGAATACAGCAAACGAGGGTGGCCTACGGCCAGAACCAATCACTGCCTCACTCTTTTCTTTCTGAAATCTGAACCAACACACACACAAGGCCATCTGATCAAAGTAAGAGCTACCATCTGATGGAAATTAAGAACACAAGTTATCCAAAGGAATTTAAACAATCAACCTTGCACGGTTCCAGCAAAAAGAGAACGATAAGTAGTTCTAAACTAAAAGAACCCAACAGTGTTCATCCAGATTAAAGTTCCTTCTATCTAGCTCCGGCCTGTTTGTTGGCAACCAAAAATGCATGAGATTCTTCAAACTGCAGCAAAAGCCTTCTTTCCGCCTCCGCTTGTTGATCCAGCTGGAATAACTTTTAACACATTGAATGTCACAGTCTTGGCCAATGGCCTGCACAAGATGAAATCTGTCAAAATCTTTGATTCATTGATTATGTCTCAAGTTTGTGTGCAGGATAAGTTTAACAAAAATTCCAATGCTGACCAAAAGCAATTGTCACCATTTTCCTTAGTACAATTTGTTGGCATTGACTGAAATAGTATGCTCGTCTTCATTCGAGCGAAAGGGATTGATGTCTCATGCACCGAGCCACATCATTTTTATAAGTTTTTGGATAACAGGTGATAGTTGTAAGCTTCAGTAGCCAAGGGTTTGATGTCTACAAATAACCACAGCACTGGTACCCAAATGCTTTGAAAAGCACATTGGTAGCTAGAGATGGCTCTTAAGAAGATGTGGAACATGTCACAGGGAGGTCCCATTATAAGCATTGGCTATCTTACTGGCTTAACAATCCCCATTTTTTTTTCTTTGCATTAGGAAAACAATCAGAACAATTATATAATTGAACTCCATGGTAGGACTCATCAAATAGAAAAAAAGGGTTCATATAGGATGATCAAAGTGCTTTGTTAAGGCTAAGTCTGATGAAGACCAACATCATGGAATTTTAAAAATAGAAAAACAACCAAGCCTGCATTGAAAAAAACCATATTGCTGACCTATGGTGACATGTCTATAGTTGAGAAACAAGCTCACCTGCACTGGCCTATGATAACGTGATCACCTTCCTTCACTCGGAAGCAAGGAGAAATATGCGCAGCAATATTTGAGTGCCGCTTCTCATACCTATCAGAAAGTAAAGAATTCAAATTTGATCTTCATCAGAAAAAATAAACAAAAAGGTACCACGTGCCTTTGATATTTCTTCACATAGTGAAGATAGTTTCTGCGTACTATGATGGTTCTGTTCATCTTGGCGCTATGGCATGTACCAGCTAAAATCCGGCCCCTAATTGATACATTTCCAGTGAATGGACATTTCTTATCAATATAAGTCCCTGCATCAAAAATCACAATTCATTCATGTTGGAAACAGTGTTTTATAACTCAAATCATGCTGAAGCAAACAATTGAGGTATCAAGGAGACAATCGACATATACTACCTTCATTTTTTGTAGATATAAACAAAAGTTGTAAATTATCTTTACCACTTTTTCCTCAAAATAGAACATTAATATTGGTGAAACAAGTGACGAACTTGAGTTTGTAAGTATGAAATGATGTCCAAAATAAATCAAAACATATCTATTTGCATATAAATAACAGGACAAAGTATGTGATCGCCCTAACAGAGACAACCCATATATATTACTGCCAGTAACTAAAGTTGCAAAACAACACTTCTGAGGAACAAATCTAAGAACAAACACAAAGGAAGTGAATCATCTAAAACAAAACTGCAGCAATCATATATAGTTCTAAAAATATCCTTAGCAAATCCATTACAACCATGGACATCAAAGAAAATTCAAGTACAGAATATCAAAACCAAATGCCTACAATATATTCATTTGTCATTAAGATGAAAAAAAAAATGCCAAACAATCTATTAAATATCATTAGTTAGCAAGCAAGAATACGAGCAAGAACCAAATAAACTGAAACTTTTGATACTGTTAAATTGAAAGATTTAATTTAAAAGGAATAAACTTATACAGTCAATAATATGGTTCAAGTATATCAATTAAACAGGGATATCAACCATGGGTCCCTGAAATATGTAAAAGCGATTATTATAAATATTTATAAAGTTCCAACCAAACTAACCATATGGTGAACCGCATGAAACATGACATTCAACTAACAGTACAAAATATTTTAAAATCACTTAGTTTCCAAGTCAACCGTATATGATGCCTCCCACAAATCTATAATTCACAAGATAATTAGCAAGATGTTTCGGATTAGTCCAATGAAAATTGCATTTTCAAAGGAATAAAATATCGATCCAAAATCAACACCAAAATAAAAGAGAAACAAGATCTCCCACCTTCAATAGCTTCTTTTGGGGTCTTGAACCCAAGCCCGATACTTTTCCAAAATCTGTTTCCACCCTTGCCAGGCCTCTTCCCCTTTCCAGTTTTCTTCGAGCTGCAATATCCACTATATCATTGATCCCAAACACTAATCAAACGCATAATATATTTGACGTTAGGAACTCATTGTCTTACCAAAGAAACACTTTTGACTGCTTAAGGAATGCCTTCTCCGTCTGCACAAAATTTCGTTGAAGAATCAGTAAGAAGGGAAGTCGCATCCCAGCATGCAATATACTTCAAACTAGAAAAACCGTGGTTTTTCAATCACCACAATCAGAAAAGCAAGATCTTAATCTTTGGCAGTTTGTAACATTATGTTTAGGCGGTTATACATCACGAAACGGCCTCAAATGTCGCATGACACAATATCAACCGGTAAACGTAAAATTTTACTAAAGTTCACATCAAATAATAATCGATTAATCCACTCGACGAAGAGATATCAAGAACTGCAACTCTACGATCTAATGTTCGACCGTCCCGGCCCAACTAGCGTTTTCCAAACCCCAGAATCCTTTTCGCTTCCCTTGTACCACGAAATGACTTCGAATCATAACAAGATTAGCCCGAGACTTCCACAAACCAAGAGAATTCAAAGAAAGAAAACGAAAGATGGGAAAACAGAGAACTTGAAGAAAAGAAACCAGGCAAGACTGGTGCTGACCTGTTCCGCCATGATCGATAAGCAACGTGGGTTCCTTGGACAAGGAGATCAAGCGCGACGGCGGAACGAAAGGAGCAGCCTGGACGGCTCCGAGAGTGAACCCTAAGGGTTTATTATATACGGTGGAGGAGGGTGGTGCTGAGTCGGGGCTAATGAACGCTTCAAGATTCGCGCTGACTATAGATGTACGATGGATGCTTGACCTTTCGTGCGGCACCTGATGGCTACCGGAGAGAAGGCGAAATGCCATCGACTGAATCGTCCGAGAACTATTTCTGGGTGACGTGTTTACTACGGATCTGATCCGGTGAGACCCATTATATTAATTCGAAAATTTTTACTAATGTTAACTCATAATAAATTATTAATATAATAATATATTTAATTTAAATTTAAAAAAAAATTAAGGTCTATTTTATCCTTTATAGTTTTGATCATAGATCACCTTAGCCCTTATGGTATACTCATGTCTAAAATAACTCATATATTTTCAAAAATATAGCATATAAGCCCCTCATATCAAGTTTGAGTTATAAACGTTAGAGTTTATTTACGTGACATGTTGACTCATAATAAATCATTAATATAATGACACGTATAATTCAAGTTTAAAAAAGAGTCAAGATACATCTTATCGAGAAAAAGAAAATGATGGAGACCGTAGCGATGAATGAAGACAGAGAGACAAAGGTAGGAGAGGCGGAGGCTGAAGTGAAAGAGAGCTGGACCACTATGTCGTAGGCGTAGTGGGTGAGGCATAGGATGCTAGTTATAGGTGCATTGCAGGTCAATCATGTGAGTGATGGCATGTGTGATAAGCATTTTTTTTTCTTGTTATATTTTGGTATTTTTATCATTTTATATTGCTTATTACATATATATATTGTGATGTCCGTGGATTTGTATAATGGGAATCAGATCATGATGAAATCATGATAATAAGATCGATTCGCCTTTAAACACAAGCCATAAATAATTCTGGTCATAAATTACTCGAGAGGGACATCGAGTTAATAAGATAGACTGGTATGTTGTATAGTCGTCCATATGATGGAGGCAGTTGGTCTCATAGCTGCTCATGTGGGGACACTAAGGATACAGTGTAAGTGCTCATTAGAGAATGAGTTCACTGATTGATCCGCTTACGGAATACTGGATGGTTGATGATGCCTTATTGTTAAATAACGATTCCGTAGTCCCAATAGTATATCTGGTCCTTAGACTTGAGACACCAAGGATGTCCTGTATGAGTACTCCACTCTTTGATACTAGACTTATAGGTTTGAAAGTTCAAAATCTAGTACAGCCGGTTATTGGTATTAGGATCGAGTCAGTACTAAGAGGGGGGGGGGGTTTGAATTAGTGCAGTGGATAAAAACGTCAGTTAAAAAAAAACTTCGTACGTTAAAATAAAAACCGATCTAGGAAGATAGCTTGAAAGCGTGTTTGTTCGTAAAGATAATGAAAGCCAAGTAAGGAGAAGGTAAAGCAATTGCAGAGTAAGTAAGTGACAATAATAGAAATGCAAACCAGAATTTATAGTGGTTCGGTCGTTGTAACCTACATCCAGTTCCGATTCCTCCTCTGTCGAAGTCACCGGTGTCCACTAATGGTCTTCCTTCAATAGACGAAGACCAATCACCTCTTTATAGTGCTTTCTCCTTTTCACGGGTTTAAGAGATAACCCTTACAAGCCTCACACCTCTCTTGAATGATTATAAATCTAACGAGAGGGAGTAGTATGAGTCTTCTCACTTTTACAACACTTTTAACACCCCAACATTTATAATTTTTCAACACTTTGATTGCACTTTGTTACCCTTTCATGCAGAAAAGGGTGGGGTATTTATAGGCCTCAATGGCTTCAGAATGGGAGCCAAAACGTGTCACGTCCCCAGAATTCGAGGTACTAGCGGTACCACCGCCATTATTGCATGGTACTACCACCTGACACTACATTGCGTGGTACCATCGCTTGACAGAGCTCAGAGATTGAGATTTGGCGGTACCACCACTTGGTAGCATTAACTTCCGACGGTACCATCGCTTAGTCTGAGCGGTACTACCACCCAGTCTAGGCCATACCACCACCCAGTCTAGGCGGTACCACCACCAAGACTACTAGTCATAGGTGCCCTGCAAGCCAATCACGTGAGTGATGACACGTGTGACTTGATACGTAGTCTTTATGCTTATTATATTTTGGCATTTATCACTTTATATTATATTTATCAATATATATATATATATATATATATATATATATATATATATATATATATTGATGTCCTTGGATCTATGCAATGAGAATCAGATCATGAAGAGATCACGATAATGAGACCAGT